GTCCAATTGATCATCGCTATATTCCCGTCCATACTCGATTATTTTTTGGTGGTGCACCGTTGCCCACTCGTTTTCATGTCCAGAAAACTCGCCTCTGTCGAGTGCGTTGTAGAAAAATATGATGTTAAGTCCAGCCTCTTCGTCAAATTCGAACTCGAGGTCAGCGATATTTCTAAAGGCATGACTTCTGAGATATTTTGGCATAGAAAGGGGCCACCTGAAGTTCTTGCCCATGCGGGCTACAAATATGTTAAGGAAAAATAAACGTCAAATAATTGTTACATACAGTATGTTGTAATTGTGTTATTCAAGCACATGTGAGCTGTACCAAGAAAGCTTTGCGCCTGACCAGGCTTTTCCTCATACGTAAGAAGGGTTTGAAGTGTTTCTGGGGGGTTATCTTCAACTGTTCGAAATATCTCCATCACTTTAAACAAAATAAAAAGTCTAGCGACATCGATCAATATTAGTTATAAATTGTTTTACCGAATACTTTTTCTGCGAGAGCACAATAATCACACTAATTGTAATAAGAAAAGTAACTATTACGAAGTTGAATGCTAAAGGGAATAAGAGAACAACAAAGTAAATCAATTTGAAGTTAGACATAGCAATAGGTACCAAATCACTATCCGATTATCGTTATCATTATAAATATTATCGATTACTGATTTTCCGTCACGTACTTTACATACCCTCAAATCGAGATAATCAATCAGCTTAATACAAATGCACACATTACAAGGAACGTAATAGCATTGATACTGAGATAAAGCATAGTCATTCCGATGTTAAACTCCATTCTCAACTCGTGATTAGTACGGGGTAAGTCTATCAGTCCACATGATATTAACCCAATAATTAAATCGATAATTATTTGTCAATATCATATACCGGCGAACATCTATGACTTACAGTATATAGCATGATGATACCCTATTTTTAACTCGTAAGTGTCCAATAAAGATAAAATAAATATTTCGAATATTTTGCGTATTACTT